TACGTGTGACGGGGAATCCTCCACGAGAGCATATCAACCCTGTTATCAACCACAGATAAACCCCGCTGCCGAGCACTACTAATGGCTTCTACATCTAGTTACACGCATAGTGTAACACCCCGTTTCCCAAAATAAAATAAAATGATTAAAACAAACACGTATCAAAGTATCTCCCACAACGGGATGTCACAATTTCCACCAAGTTCTCATTAAATGATTCACAGTCAAAATATGCAGCGGAGAATAAATTAATTGGTTTATTCTATTTGGTAGAATAGTGTATAATTGCTAGATTGATTGGTTAGGCCTATTAGAGGTGTGTGAATAGAAAGTGAGAGAAGTTGGGTAAAGCCCAATAGAAAGGATTAAAGAGTTATGGTTTTAGAGAAATGTTGAAAAAGAGAAGGAAAAGGAAAAATAGAATAGAAAATAGAAGAGAAGAAGAGAAAGAAAAGAGAAAGAAAAAGGAAGAAGAGGAAAACTTAGAGAATCATCAAAGAACAACATCTAGGAATCGATTAATCGGGTAAGCGTGTGAAATCTTATTATCTTACCAATGTATATGATTATGTATGTGTGTGTTTGGATTATTTGGATGTTTTCCATCTTTTCCATTTTAGGTCGAAATGAGTTTAATCCATAGAAGCCGAAGATTTAACGGTTAGAATCTGAAATTAATGGTGTAGTTTAGTCGAGGAATGTTAGGCTAAGACTACTGGAACTTGTTGGAATCGAATCGGGTGATTTCGGGAGTTTCTGAGGTTTTTGGACAGTTGGGGTTTTTGAGTACGCAGACACTCGCTAGCACATTTGATAGGCGAGTAGAGTGGAGAGTCGTTTGCTAAGCGAGCTGCCAACGAACGTCCCCAGACTTGGGCAGAATGGAAATGACCCTTATTCATTGTGGCGAGAGATGTAGCGAGTTATTCGCTAGGCGAGGCTCCAGCGAGCCAGTAGCGAACACTTCCAATAGCTTCTGACTGTCTTCGCGAGCTTGTTCGCTAGGCGAACCAGTAACGAGTGTTCGCCAAGGACTCGCTAGGCGAGTGGTGTAGCGAGCGTGACAACATTCTTATATCTTGTTGTGTTCCATCTAATGTTGATTGTTCGGCTCGATTGTGATCGATCTTTCTGAATGCATAGTTGTATGATGTGATATGTTATGTTGTGGGTAGCCGTATGGCGTGAATCCTAGATTGTGGAATCGAATGTGAAATGTGGCATTTGGCAAATATATGCATTATTTAAATTGATTAAAAGTGTATGATGATTGTGATGGAGTTTGTTGTCGTTTGGCGCGATAATGTGAATGCATATTGATTGTATGCGATTGTATGTGAAGAATTCATGAATATGTATCTGTGATTGAATCTATTTGATTCTTGTGTACTACTTGATGAATGTAGTGATGATGTTGAAAGTATGAATACTTTTATGAATGTGTTGTGTGTGCAATCATGTTATAATTCTTGTGTGATGAATTATTTGAGTATGCATGGGATTAAGATGCGATAACGGTCTTAAGTGCATATGATTGTTGATTGCATACGCATCATTTATGGTCAAGAGGCAATGCTTGCTAGTTTTGTGGAGACTAGTGACTTGTCCCAAACCTAGAAGGGTGGGTTTGAAAGCTTAGGGAATGGGCTTTTGTTGTTATCGGTCTAGGGAACGGACCCGGTTTAAATGTAAAAACCGAAAAATGATAACAAGTGTTGGTACCACATGGCATGAGTTGCATTGAGCTGCATTGAGTCACATGGCATAGGTATAATTGTTGTATGGAAGTGTGCATATGTGTATGAATTGTTGAATTACGGGTTATCAATGTGTAATTGTGAATGATATTGACTGATGAATTGATGAATAAACATGATTGTATATGTTTATATGAATTGTAGTGAATTAAACATAATGTGTATGTTTATGTGGATTGATTGAAATTGTGGAAGTGTGCATGATGTTATGCTTGGATTATATATATATATATATATATATATGTGTGTGTGTGTGTGTGTGTGTGTGTGTGTGTGTGTGTGTGTGTGTGTGTGTGTGTGTGTGTGTGTGTGTGTGTGTGTGTGTGTGTGTGTGTGTGTGTATGACGATGTATATGAGTGAATTATGATGAATGTGGTGAGAATGCGAAATATGTATACTTTTATATTTATATATATATATATATATATATATATATATATATATATATATATATATATATATATATATATATATATATATATATATATATATATATATATATATATATATATATATATATATATATATATATATATATATATATATATATATATATATATATATATATATGATTATGTGCATTGTTATTATGATAATATTTCTCACCCTTCTGCTGGAATGATGTCCTATATGACATCGTGCAGGTATCAAGGAGTAGTACTGCTCGTAGTTACGAAGTCGCTATTGATGTAGCTGTTTAGTAATTTAATTATGTTGGGTCGAGTCATGCTCTGGTCATGTAACACTGGGATCACTTGGTTTATGTTTTAGAGATACACTATGTACTCTACGTAATGTTTTTATATTTATCGAATTATTATGATGTTGGCCTTAATTAGTGCCTAAGTAATGTTGATTTATGTGATGAACACAAATGTTCTGTTAAGAGAATTATGAATATAAAATGAATCTGCTGCTACATGCAAAGTGAAATCTTGAAAAGCATAATTATCTATTAAAGTGTTAATGAGCATGACAAATGGTTTTTGATGTTTTGAAAGTTATGTGTGACGCCCTTTTGTGAATGCATGATAATTTACTCTAATTATTCATATATTTTCCGTGGGGTTTATGAGGGTGTTACAATAAGCACACTGGAAATCCATGGTTCCCGCCGACGATGAACGCTTCCGTGTTGCAACAACATCAGGATCAACTAAAAATCCTAAGCTTCTAAAATCTCTGGCAACGACGGCAGCAGAAGAAAGTGGCCTAACCACCGTCAGCCACCAACAACCTCCGAAAAACAGCCCCTAAGCTAATTCACTACGACCCTAACCACATGCATTCTAAGAAGCAGAACATAGTAAAACCTACAACAAGAGAATAATTCAGGTGTTTACATGGTCGAGGACACGATTATGGGGTCGAACGACTCTAGCCAGTGAATGTACGACGGTCAAACAGAATTAGACGGCGGCGGGCAGCGGAATGCAAAGACAGAGAACAAGAGTAGAGAGAGAAGCGAAAAATGCAAATGAGCAGCTTCTCGCTCTATTTATAGACAATCCATGGCACGTGCACGAGCAAGCGCGACTAGGGGCATCATCATGACCATAACCTAGTCATCATTATGCATTAACTACGACACACAGCTCGAGACACGCGTGGAACTTCACCTCTTCAGATTCCATCAACCGTTGGTCTCCCCGTACCTCAAGCTCCCTGACATGCAGCATTGCAAGTCCTCGGGCGCATATTCCCTCGGGCACCAAGTAACCGCCTCATCTCTGCAACAAGCGACGACCTTGCCCGAAGTGCGAATTGTCCTTAAGTCATCACTCTCATGCTCGAAAGAAACGACTTGGAGGGCCACTGTTCCGGACTGACCCAATGGCTAGGCATGATCCAATTTACTTATGCTTCTAGAACAACTCAATCACCTAGAACGAGACTGTTTAATGAACTTTTTTAACGAGTTTAGAACATAGTAGGATAGAACGAGGCTGACGACCTATTTTGTCACCTTTACTATAAACTAACAATCATCGATCATAAATCATAAGCTATAAACTATAAATTAATTTATCAAATCAATAGATATTTTTACCTGAGTATATACTTTTAAACATTATTGTATACTGATCAGTGCATTTTAATGCACCTTCTTCTATGTTTAGACTTAGGCATTTCTACAGTTTAGTTTGTTTAATTTCTTATTTTATAATGTTTTTACAATTTATTTTATTTTAAGCTTTATTTAATTTTCGTTTGTTATTTTTTAGCATTAGCAGTTTTTAGTAAAAAATTCATAACTGGAGCTACAGGAATCAGATCGAGGCGTTCTACCAGTCGTTGGAAAGCTAAGAAAAAGATCTACAATTTTCATGTTGCACAAAGGAGTTGATTTGGATTTCTTGAGTCTCGAATAATTCATTGAAGTTTCTAACTTGTGATAATGTAGTTTTCCTTGCGGGCCTAGTTTAGGTTTCTGGCCCAGTTATTTTCTATTTAAGGTTGCTGTTGTGATGCAAAACATTAACGCAGTTTATTTTCTGAATTTCCTTTTGTTTTATTGTTTTCATGGCGAACTAATCCTAAAGAAAAATCCGCGCATTATTTCTTTTAATCTCTTTCCAAATTACCGTCCATTTTCTTTTAATCTCTTTCCAAATTACCGTCCATTAATATTCCTTAACTCAATCGCGGATTAACTTAACTTTTTCGTTAATTTGCACAATCTTTAACGGTATTGTCGACGCTTATTCGTCTCAATTGACTACTTTAAATTAAAATCCTTATGATTCGGCATCCGAATTACCGTTGCTTTATTAAGTTTTTCAAACCGTTCGGTTTTGATCCGCGCTCGACCGCGGATCATATACTAATTGTGTTTGTTATACAGTAAAATGAAAGAGTTAAGAAAACTAGCTACGTGTGAACGGAATTAGTTGAATGGGCCCGGTTTGAATGGACGACGTGCAGAAAGAGAGCGTGTAGTAACGCGTTATTGGGTTAGGGCATGACGGAAGCACAAACAATTCCTCTTCTCTTTCGTTCTTATCCATCCAGACTTCAAACCACCAACCCTCTTCTTCTTTTCATTTTCATAAATTAAATCATCCGCCATGTCCCTTCATCACCGATCTTCAATCAGTTGATTTCATCTTCTTCCTTTCACTCATCTTTCTCTTCAATCGGTTCGTTTTTTAGGTTTTCTTTATCTCTTTTCATTTTCTCAGATCTCAATTCAAGACTTCACTGATTCCCTTATTATTGTTTTCAGATCAACACAAGAAAACATGGAACCCATGGATATAGTTGCAAAATCAAAGGAAGATGCGTCGCTTCCCAAAGGTATAAATTTTACTTTTCAAAATTGAATTTTATGTCTCTTGAATTGATTCAATATATTTGATTTGATTTGTTTACAGCGACGATGACGAAAATTATTAAAGAGATGTTACCACCAGATGTGCGTGTTGCAAGAGATACACAGGATTTGTTGATTGAATGCTGTGTAGGTTAGGTTTTTCACCCCTTTTTACTATTTTCCTGATTTTCTTATCAATTTTTTGTTTTGTTTTGTTTTGTTTTGCTTAATGATCAATTAACCCTAGGTTTGTTTCAGTATATGTGAATTGACCTGACATATGTTCAATGAACTATAAAGATGATTTCTGTAATTGTGTTGTTTTGGATTCAGTTTTGGTAGTTTATTCATGGTTTATTATCATAGTTTGTTGTTTTTACTGACCGGAAATTTGTTGTTTGATCTGTATCATTGTAGAGTTCATAAACCTTATCTCATCAGAGTCAAATGAAGTATGTAACAGAGAGGAAAGAAGGACGATTGCACCTGAGCACGTGTTGAAGGCTTTAGGGGTATGCATCAAATGACCTTACTTATCACTAAATTTTCATATGTTTCATTTCCGATTTTGATTTGGTTGCTTATATTATTTGCTCAATCCTCGGAAGTTCTGTGCATTAATCTGTATCTTTCTCACTATGTAGGTATTGTTTTTCTTAATTGTTCTCTGTGTTAAGTATCTTGTTTTATTACAAAACAGATTAAAGGCATTAATAATGATCTAGTGCTATTGCACTACAAATATTATTGCGAGAACAGAGGCTCAAATCCTGCTCTTTGCTTTTGGGTTACAATTAATAATTTGGGGAGCCATGGCTCCCACCTGTCATATCTAAGTGTGATTTGAATGCAGCATGTTTAGTTCTGTCCTTTCTTGCTTACTGTTTCCTTGTCCTTCCTAAATGCCACCCTCTGCTTTGCACTTCCTGAAACATTTAAGCTAATAGATAATCCCTCTTCCTTAAACCAAAGTTGTTAATGATCTTTCTCTTCAATGTTGTTAAATGGTGGCCGTGGCGGATTTGTTTTATAATTGCTACAGGCAGTTTATGAAGGGATGTCAGCCATGACGCCGTCATAAGCCACAATGGCGTGCTTACAGGGCCCATTTTTTGCCTATCTCCATATTCTGCATGCCATTTGATAACACTGCTTCCCTTGCATCATACTATTGTTTCCTACAAACCGTTGATAATTGATTACAAATAATATGTATCTTAAAAGGTTATTTTTTGTCTGAATTCCTTTTCAATTCCCGAGGTAACATGTTCCGAATACAGCATGCTTGTTCTTACTTTTTTTTTTATTGATTTGCTCACGTTTATATTAGGTTCTTGGATTTGGCGATTACATTGAGGAAGTTTATGCAGCATATGAACAGCACAAAATGGAGACAGTGGTAAATGTTTAATATTAACAGCCCATGTGCATGTTGAATGGCTTGAACGATATTTTAGACAACTTGGTATAATTTGTGAGGGTCCAGGGGATCATATCCATTGTGAATATATTGTAGGCTCTAGGCAGACAAGCCTTGCATTGTTAGAGATGAATTCCATTACTCACAGACCCACGACTTTATGTTAATTGGGGGATGCATGCAGTTTCACAAATTATTTATGGTTTCTCAGTATTAGGAAACTTTTAAGAGCACCCTCAGTGAACCACTTTAGTGCTTTTATCTGATAATCTTTCAATAATACTAGTAGAAGCTGAATTTCTATTTAGGATCTCTGTGTGACTCAGGGTGGTTTGTCTTGGTGTTTTTTTATACAAGTCTAGGCAGGTCCCAATGAGTGAGCTAACCTTCCAGGGGTTTGAAGAGTCATCTATGTTTTAGAGTTCTTAGACTGAACTTAAATGTAAATAACAGCTTGTTCCTTGGTTGTAATTTGAGATTGAAGAGTGGTATGCGCGCACACATGCAGGGTCTAGATTTTATTGTTCCAAATTTCCAATGCTCATTGTGGTCAGAGAGCCATTATCCCATAAGCATCGGGGCACATAAATTACCGGACAAATGAATTTTGTATCAGTTAATTTCTTTTGTTTATGGGGGCTGGCTTTGGTGTGAAACTATTTTCTGATATATTTTTTCACCTTGCAGCAGGACTCTATAAAAGGTGCCAAGTGGAGTGGCGCAGCTGAGATGACTGAGGAACAGGCATTAGCAGAGCAGCAAAGGATGTTTGCAGAGGCACGTGCTAGAATGAACGGAGGGACCATAACTTCAAATCAACCTGATGCTGACCAAAGTTTAGAGAACTAACTTTAGAGTCTTTATTTTCTTGAAGCACAGGCAAGCATCTCTGACTGTTCCCTATGGGTAATTTAGATCGATTTTGCACAACTCATTCACTACTTTGCTGGCCTATTGTGAATGTGCTCCTCATTTGTGTACTATTAGTGATCCATATTTGTAAGTTAATGTAATTAATTAATGGAGTTCATTCAATCTATTTAGGATTGTATGTAAATTATTTCATTTAGTTGTATCTTCTACACTAATAGCCATTGGCTTAGTTTTGAAATAGTGAATGTATGAAATTGTAACAGTCTGTTATATTCTATCACCTGTTATATGTTATAATTATAACTATAAGGTTTCACAACAACAATGAGAGTTCCATGCAAGCTCAGTTCATTAATGTCTTTCTGAAGACTAAAATTTTCAGAACTGATCACGAGTGGATCTTTGTTGTCATTACTCGAAATTCTACTTAAATCAGCTGTGATGGATTGTATAAGTGAATGAAATAGGAATTGGCTACTATTTCTACTCGAAATTCCCTCTTTCAAATAAAACATGAATTGGCTACTATTTCTAATAGGAATTTCATAAACTTCTGATTTGTGAGAGACTGAGTAGAAAAATCTTAAACATGAATTGGCTACTATTCCTAATAGGAATTTCATAAACTGCTGATTTGTGGACAATTTGTACTACTGAAGGTTATATGTCTATGTATCTGACAGCTCATTATGTAGATTATCAACCTTTGCCTCATGCCAACCCTCTCATACTAGATCTGAGTTTTCCAAGAAGATTCTTGAATTTGTGAGTAATTGGGAAATAGAAAAGAAGACTTGTTTTCTCTCAAGAAAATTTGTATTGCGAAATTGGTTATGTGATAAGGAGGTCTTTCATGTGCATTTCTCAATATATAATCTTATTGTGCAAGAGGGACGGGAACTTGTGGGTGATGCATTGGAAAAGATTAGAGATAATCTGAGAGTGTAAAAGATAAAGAAATTGTTATTTTAGATCAAGGCTGTAAGACGTGTAAGTAAGATGTATTATTGTACATGATTTCAAATGGATAACAGTTAATTGTACATGATTTCAAATGTATAACAGTTAATCAGTGATTAAATAGAATTAGATGTACTATTGTACATGATTTCAAATGGATAACAGTTAATTGTACATGATTTCAAATGTATAACAGTTAATCAGTGATTAAATAGAATTTTATATAATATTTATAATGATTAAATCATGGTTAAATAAGATTTATATTTTTTTTATAATTAAATTTTGATTAACCTAGACATAACTTTAAAAAAATTGCAGACATTTATTAAGCATAACTTGATAACTTGAATAGTGTGGAATATACATGTGAGTTATTGAAATGAATAGTGTGGAATATAGTGTGGTGCTTGCTTTAAGAACGTTTCTTAATCCAGGTTGAAGTTTTCTACATTAAAATATTGTTATATAAAGGTTAATCCAATGGAGTACGTTTAAATTTAAAGTAGAACTTAAGAAGTTGAACTCACTCTTTGAGAAGTATTCTTCTATTCCTACATCGTTCAAATCACTTCATCTTCCATTACTAGAAAGGGACTATTTCTCCAAGTTTTTTCAAAATTTGTTTGATATAAATAGACTATTTAATATCATTAATTTATTGATAGTATATTTTTTTTTATTAATATGTTAGTTACATTCTTTATCAGAAGTAAGTTTTTTAAAGTCATTAACTTTTTATTAAATAAGCTAGTTACATTATTTATGAGAAGTAAGTTTTTTTAAAGTCATTAAGTAGGAATTAAAAGTTCACAAATAACATCTTGCTACTTTAACTTAAAAGTATTAATTTGATGTTTATTTGGATGAGCAAAACTTAGATTTAACTTATCACCACTATAATGATTTGAATGTTATTCAACGGAGAATTTTAATAAACTGAAATTTCACTTCAAGTAGTATTTGGAATTGTCTCATTTTTGTTCAAAAAAATCTAAGTATCATTTGTCCCTTTGAATTCAAGTAGCATCTAAATTTTTTTAATTATTTAAACTTTAACTGTGATACGTAGATGTAGTGGGTGACGATTTTGGCGAGAAGGATGCTCGAAGCTTCGACTCATCAGTTACAATGACAACAAGAGTATCAATTGTTTGTGGCATAGATGATGATTGACTTGGAGAATTATGTTATTATTCGTTTTATTTTAAAATTTATTTATAGTTATTGGATTTATTTTGAATTTTGTTTAATGTTGCTATTGACATTTATTTTATGATTGTGGATTTGTTTAATTATAAGATTTTTTTTTATATTTGAAAGAGGGAATAAAGCCCAAAAGAGAAAAGATTACTCTTATAATGACAGAGAAATAAAAATCTTATGCAATCATTTTCTCAAATATACACATGGATTCATGGAGATTAATTTCTCTCATAGTTAGGGAATAATCACAATAATTGATTTCTCGAACATATGTTTGACTTGAACATTTCAAGCTTTTGATAACATGGCTCTAGTCTGTGATAGGTTATAATGAGGAGGAAGCATTCACAGTGAATTAAACACTCACCTAAATGTCAAATATTCATTCAAACAAGTGAGAGAGATACCACATATTCACCTAAAACCTTTAGGTGTATGGGTTATCTTATTTATAAAATGTTTAACTTTCACTTTTCTAAATAATGTGGGACTTAGAACTCACACTTGTTTCTCAACATAACTCACACTTATTTTTAAACAATCTCCTCCTCAAGTGTAAGTGTGGACTTCCACATGCTTGTACCGCCGTTGAGAGACTTATTTTTAAACAATCTCCTCCTTAAGTGTAAGTGTGGACTTCCACATGCTTGTACCGCCGTTGAGAGACACCCTTATCTCATCATGGAAACTTCAACGAAACACGCCTCAAACAAGTGAGAGAGACACCACATATTCACCTAAAACCTTTAGGTGTATGGGTTATCTTAAGTGTGGACTTCCACATGCTTGTACCGCCGTTGAGAGACTTATTTTTAAACAATCTCCTTCTCAAGTGTGGACTTCCACATGCTTCCTCACCACATATTCACCTAAAACCTTTAGGTGTATGGGTTATCTTAAGTGTGGACTTCCACATGCTTGTACCGCCGTTGAGAGACTTATTTTTAAACATTCTCCTCCTCAAGTGTAAGTGTGGACTTTCGATTATCTCATCATGGAAACTTCAACGAAACACGCCTCCTAACCACCAGGTCAGGAAGACTTTCGATGGGTTATCATGAGGAGGAAGAATTCACATTGGCCAAACACTTACCTAAATACCACATATTCATCCAAAATCTTAAGGTGATAGGTGTATGAGTTCTCTTAGAATATAAAGTGCTTAACCTCTATTTTTTTAAGCAATGTGGGATTTATAACTCACACTTATTTCCCAATAGTCTACACCAATAAGTTCCTTCCCATGAGACAATCCTTATCCTTATCATTGATGACATCCACTACTAATTGAGAATCAAGATTAACTTCAACAACTTCAACTCCCATAGGTTTTGCAAGCTTTAAGCCTTCGATACACCCTATAGCTCCGCTAACAAGGCAAAAATAATTACCAATTTTTTTTTGTAAAACCTTCAAGCCATTTCCCTTCATGACCTCTGATTAGACCTCACAACCTGCACTACCATTGGTGTTCCTCGCTCTATCAATATTGACTTTAAACTTTCCCATTGTCGGAGGTTCCCATTTATGTGAACCAATTCTAGATGACGATAAACAATAATGTTTGAGACTAATTTAGCTTTTCGATAATTCTGCAGCAACATGTGCACATGGTTCATTAGATTATGAGGTCTGACAAAACTATCATCCTGGAGCTCTTTATTGTGCCAGTTCTAGAAACTATGACAAGCAGTTTCCCAAAACACTTTTCAATCACCATCCACATTCCAACCCAAATTTTGATTCATATTAATAGCGATCCATTGATGCACATAACCTGTAAAAAATATATCTCGCATATTAGATTGCACTACTGTTAACCATAAGGCAAACCCTCAACACATGTATTATGTCTTCTTCCATGTCTCCACAAAAGTTGCACATAACGCTACCAAAACACATTCGACTCTTTTAAAGATTAATTAGTAGCCCATCATAGCGCAAGAGCCCAGTGAAATAGTGAATCTTTTCAAGAGCTTGGATGTGCCAAATTTTCTTCAACAAAACCCCTTCATGTTCACTATTGTGCTGTGCTAAATAACTGTAAGCTTTTCCAACTGAAAAACCATGCATGTAATTACCTAATATTATTCGTAAATCTAGTCATGCATCAACACAAGGAAGGTTAATACCAGCAATTTTTATTTAAGATATCATTATGAAGCCGAATCTCTAACGTCTGCCAGTTCCAGCATCCATCATCACTTCAAAGATCTGCAACTTTTGCCAACCAAATATGGTTTGGAATGTCCAAGTCTAAGTCTTTTTATTTTAAGGCTCGGTACAATCCAATCCACATTCTATCACCTAACGACCAAAAGCAATCTTCATTTATCATTCAAGCTTTCGTTCAATCTTCCATAGGGTAGAGTCGGTTGGCTTTTTACTGATCATAGCTTTTGTTCCATGTTAATTGTATATTCCCAAAAGAATTGCATTCCACAAGTCAGCATTTCCTACATGAAGATTCCAACTTATTTTTAAAATGCAAGCTTGATTCGTGACATCTAATTTCATCAGTCCTAGCCCACCAATATCCTTAGGTTTAGTAATGATACTCTACTTAACTGCATGGTATATTCTTTCATCTCTCCCATCACCCCAAATGAACTTCCTTTGCAATTTAATTATATTCTTTAATTTTGTTAGATTTATAATAGGGATATTATCTCTATTAATTATGATGTTTAATTTGTTAATTATGTTGGATTAGTTTCATAGGATTTTATAGATTATGTTTGTTTCGCTCCATTTTTATTTTGAATCATGAGAATTTGACTCTACATGTTCTCCCCTGCAAAGAGAAGATGTAATATTAAATTATAGAAGAATTTTTCATAATATTCATTTGATGAATGATAATGATTAAATTTATTTAATAATTTTTTGGATCACATATGATTATATATAATGACAAAAAAACCAAAAGTTGCACTTAAAGTGTGTCACCCAACCAATGCATTGTTTAACAGTAAAATTGAACGAAAAAGTAAATAACAATTGTAAATGACCAATAATTAAAAGAATATATTTTTTTTTGATTTTTTTAAAAAATGATCATGTTTTTTAAAAAAATCCTTAAATAACAAATTTTTTTCAAAAAAATTTCATGTTTCAAATTAAAAAAAATTATTCCAAGAGGATGCGCATGCACTCATTTGTTGGCCTAAGGTGTCATAGCCTTTGGTGCGTACATGCACTCTTTAAGAACATGTACTATTGTAAGTGACTCTTGTATTGTTAATTTTTTTTAATAATTGTTTTAACAACAAAATAATCATAAATAAAATATTTAATAATAAATAAATTATAATATTATTCCATCAAATATAAATATACAACGATTGAAGGAAATTTGTCTGGAGGCGCGTCGTTAATGCAAGCACCGACATCAACAGATTATAAACGAACCAATCATGCATGATGTTAGACCAACTCCATTGACGATTGAACGAGTCATTAAATTTCTCTCTAATAGTTGTGTAGTTCTATTTGATGGAATAATATTATAATTTATTTTTTATTAAACATTTTATTTATAATTATTTTGTTGTTAAAATAATTTTAAAAAATAAAATAACACAGTAGTCACTGACAATATCACATGCTCCTAAAACATGCATGCATGCGCTACAAACAGTGACATGAAACATGAGCATGCGCTACAAGCTATGACACCTTAGGCCTGATAGGTCAACGTGAGGGAAAAATATTCACATTGAGTTATACACTCACCTAACCTTAGGCCTGATAGGTCAACGTGAGGGAAAAATATTCACATTGAGTTATACACTCACCTAAAGGTTAAAACTCACAAAAACAAGTGAGAGAGATACCACATATTCACCCAAAACTTTAAGGTGATAGGTGTATGGATCCTCTTACTTATAAAGTGTTTAACCTCAATTTTTGTAAGCAATGTGGGACATAGAACTCACACTTATTTCTCAACACAATTCACACTTGTTTCTCAATAATATCTTCCTCAAGTGTGAGTCCATCCACTATGTTCTCCCTCAAACGGAAACTCTTTCATTTACATACTTGTACAACCGTTGAGAGACACATTTATCTCGTCATGTGCACTTCAATAAAACACGCTGCCTGACCACCAGGTCAGGAAGATTTTCGACACAAGGAGTCGGTCCCTTACTCGATCCATTGACTCTGATATCACTTATGGATCATCACGAGGGGGAAACATTTACATTGGGTCATACACATACCTTAAGATCAAAGACTCACCCAAACAAGTAAGAGAGACACCACATATTTATCCAAAATCTTAAGGCTATAGGTGTATGAGTCATCTTACTTATAAATTGCTTAACCTCCATTTTTCTAATCAATACGGAATTTAGAGCTCACACTTGTTTCTCAATACAACTCACACTTGTTTCTCAACAAAGCCAACAAATAAGTGCATGCGCTTAAGACAGTGACACATTCTTTTGGAGACAATTTTTATTTTGTTTGAAACATAGTTAGTTTGATATTTTTTAGTGAAAAAAATGATTATTTAGGATTTTCTTTTTTGAAAAACATGGTTATTTAAAATAAAAATTTAATATTTTTCTTCACCAAAGAATATGAATTTTTCTATAAATAAAAATATTTTGATATTTTGCAAATTAAAAATACACGAAAAATTAACATATTTCAAGAGAAAAAATTACATCTAAGTCATTTATTTATTTTTATAGTGTATAAAATAAATAAGAAAACTTTATTGCTTAAAATATCGTTGATCAATATGATTGATGTGAATGTACGATTTATTTTAGGTTTATAAAATATGCCAAAGAGAATTCGCAAATTACTCATTTGTTTGTATTTAATTTACATAAATGAGGGGAGCGAATCTATCTTTAAAGTTTAATGTGAACAAGTTTTAAAATATGTTTTGTCCAAATTTTATCATATCATTTTTATATTCTTCTTATTCATATTTTGGAGCACATTCCTAACACAAAATCTAACATAAATCACCTATTAAATATCTTTGTTAATACATGTTCAATTTTTATAAATATTTCAAATATTTACATTTGATTTCTAATTAAAGATATGTTTAAGAAAACTGTTGGACTCCTTCAACTTCACTTTTTTGGCAGACTTAAACAAACCTCCTGTTTTTCTACCCTTATATGATTCTCTCTCACTCAAAGTAATGAGAGTCTCTCAATCCACTTTCTTCTATACATTACTCTAAGATCCTCCCCATAAATACAATATTGAAATGATCTTTTATATAAACCTCAAGAGTTTTAAGAATGAATTGAGATTTTTTTAAAATATTTTAACTATTATTTTGTCACCTACATTCACTAAATTTACCAAAGACACTCCATATAAAAATGAGTGAATATCTATTTCCTTGCAATAGTGTATTTAAAATTATTGACTGTTTCATCTGTCTAGCAGGTCTTGTCTTATGAGCAAAATTTGGGGTAAGCTACAAGTTTTTCGTTGAAAAAACACTCTTTTATGGGGCTAACAGGGATGTGTCAGCTGGTAGGTTGGTGAAATGTAGTCTCTGCAGGCAACATAAGGCACGATAATTCTTAACCTGATGTCACTTGTACCAACCTCAGCACAAGAATACAAGAATGTCTAAGGAGCATGTCCTGCTTCAATAGTGATAGCTTTGTGTTTTGTTTTTTTAACCTCTCTACCATTTTGGGGTCCTGAGTCAAAAGAGTTAAACGCACAATCCACTTCCCTGCCCCACAAGAAAGTGAAGTTACAAACACGTTGTCTCCTTAGATTCCTTTCTTTTTCTATCTCTATGATTTCCTTGCATATATACTGGTGGGGACTCTTCATTCTTCTTTTTGTCAGGATTCTCTTCCCCTCACTATATACCAATGGAAACGAATAGAATTATAACAAACAACCAATTCATTCATTCTTTATCTGTCTCTCTCTCCTTTTTGATATGAATCCAGTCATGGCTAGAACCTCAAACAACATCTCCTCTAAGAGACATTTTCATTGGACAAACAAGGTTGGAACTGAAGAAGGTGATGCTCACACTTCAGAATCATTTTCTACACTCATTCAGAAGGAGGACTTAGAGCGGGACAAGGTTGTTGATCTCGAGCCTTCATCAGATGATGCTAAAGCCACTACTACAAATGCAGCAAGGAGGAAGCTGAGAGCCGTGGCGATCTCAAGGCTTCGTTCGGCTCTCACTGTGTTTGGCAAGAACCGGTCGAACACGCCGTTCGGCCTCGGGTCTCGTGTAGTTGGGACGCTCTTTGGATATAGACGCGGGCATGTACATTTTGCTTTTCAGAAGGACCCAACTTCCCAAGAAGCCTTTTTGATCGAGCTTGCAACGCCGATCAGCGGTTTGGTTCGCGAAATGGCATCCGGGTCGGTAAGAATTGCTCTGGAATGTGACAAGGAGAAAGAAGTAGAGAAGAAAGGTTTGAGGTTGCTGGAAGAGGGTATGTGGAGAACATATTGCAATGGCAAGAAATGTGGTTTTGCTAACAGAAGAGAATGTGGTCAAAAGGAGTGGGATATTCTCAAAGCTGTAGAGCCAATTTCAATGGGTGCTGGTGTTATACCAGGAACAGAAGCAGGAGCAGAGGGTGAACTTATGTACATGAGGGCAAAATTTGAGAGAGTTGTTGGGTCTAGAGATTCTGAAGCTTTCTATATGATGAATCCTGACAGCAATGGTGTTCCTGAGCTCAGCATTTATTTGCTTAGAGTCTAGCTTGTCATGCAAGTTCTGTTTATTGTACTTAGTTTGTTCTTGTGGAATTGTGGGTGGGTTATTCATTGGTATACTACTTGCTTAGCTCTTAAGTCATGATGAACATGGAGATTTTTCTTTGCTGTTTTCTTTTTCTTTTTTTACTAGAAGTATAAGCGAGTTCAAGAATTGTAAGATTAATAATAATCAGTAGTAGCTGCAGTCAGTGATCAAGATTTGTTATTTTTGTTATAATAGGCAAGTAGGCCAAGTCAGAAAGGGGATATAGGCATGGTAGTGGTGAGGTGGGTCATGAAAGGTGTATATGTGTAATTTTCTTATTCCAATCCTTCAATTAATGGCCAAGGACAGAGGTTAATGCAGATCATGAGTGGATGCGTCTTTTGATTATTTCCTATAGTTCATGCTTTGTGTTTCAAGTTACTACACTATGGGTATAATACAATTACACTCTCCATAACCACTAGTGTCTTTGAAAGACAAAATGGTATAGCTCACTGTTCATATACTATAAGATTTGAATAAAGTATACACTAGCTAAAAAAAAGTTGGAATAGACTTAGGTGGGAGCATGTGTAAAAGTAACATTGTTTGTTCCAATCATTGTGTTATATGCACTATAGTTTGTGTTTGTGAAATGATCCTAATAATTTGTTTTGAATCCTAATCATAGGAATCATCAAAAGAAATATGTAGATAAAGAAATAGCATATCAGTTAGTGACAACCAACCCCATCTTTTCCTTTGTTTATATATTGGCCATTGCTTTATGCTCTTGTTGACCACTTTTTCTTTTGTTTGTCTAATTCAAATATGATGATTCTTAGTAGTTTGGGCCGCTTGAGTTGAAACTAATAGCTCAGTTTCCACCATTGTTAACATTGAAAACCAAAAAACAAGTTTTTTAGCGGCTAATTTACTAACAGTAATGAACACCCTTTTTCCCTTTCCCATTGTTTTCGGGCTTTCAATTTGTTAGTGTACTGTTTTCTAGTACTTTGAGAGAACAGGGTGTAGGTGAGAGAGGATATGTGGCTTATAGATAGGTCCATAAAACCAAATTCTCAAGATTTCGTTAACAAAAACCTATGTTTTTTTAATCATCATTCTTCTAAATAAAAACTAATAAAGTTTGGTAGTATTGCTTTATACAATTATTGCTCCAATTAGTGCACCAAAATCCCAAACCCACCTCTGAAAAAACCAAAAACGTGGAAGTACCATAAGTACATTAATGATGTACATAGCCATTTTTTAATAGGCAAAATAATACATTACTCATTACTCAATTCTAAGCCTATGATTTGGATATTTCAAAACAAACGAAGTGGAGCGGAATGAAATAGAGTAGAATGGAGTGGAGCGGAATAAAATGAAGTGGAATAAAATAGAACGAAATAGAGTAGAATCAATATTCTATTCAATTGTTTTGAAATTTTAGGATGGAATGCAGTAAAAAAATATTATTCCGCCCAAATTGGATGTAACAAAAATGAGGGTAAGTAATAAAATTGGATGGAATGCATTCCATTATGTTCCGCTTCATTTTATTCTCTTTTTTTCAATCCAAACACTGAAACATAACATTATTTCATTATATTTCGTTCCATTTTGTCGCATTATGTCAATCCAAACATAGTCTAAGGGTGTGTTTGGTTTAAGAGAGGAAGCAACGAGAGAGTTTGGAAAGAGAGAAATCGGGAAGAAATAATTATTTTCTTGTTTGAGACATAAGAGAAATAGGGAGGAGAGATTGAATATTTGTGGGTCATACCACCTTTTTGTTTCTCTTCCATTAAGAAGAAAGTAAGTAGAATAAGTTGTTTTTAATTGTTTTTTGTCTATACCTTTATTTTTTTTCAATATGAATGTGTTGAAAATCAGTTTTTTGGCATTTCAGTTGTGATAACCAGTTACGGATTTTTGCATAACCGATTACGGAGTTAAAAAAGACCGAGGGATTGCTGGTATCGGGCTCGTAATCGGTTACACCATTTTGCGTAACCAGTTACGAAGAAAAATTTTGGTTTTTTCAATTTTCTGTTAGTTTCAGCTTATTTTGTTAAGTTGTTTTCTCATCTCCAATCATTTTTGTAAGTTGTAGTATATAAGACCTTTTAAGCTCCCAATTTGTGGTTAATGTCAATTATTATTCTCACCCTCAATTACTCTCTTTCTATTTTTCTCTCTCTATTTCTTAACTTCATCTTCTCCAAATTAACTCAATTCATCATTAATTCACCATTAGAGATTTTGTATGTTCTAACATTTGGCATCAAGAGCACTGGTTTTGATCCACTTTCGCTGCAACAATGAGTATCGTTTCTGACGATAGAATTCCCACCAAACTTCTAATTGTTGATTCGAAGAATTATGACAAGTGGTCAAAGCAAAAGAAAGTTATGTTTGGGTATCAAGAAGTTCTTGAGATCATCAACAATGGAGTTACACCACTTGGGATTGAAGCTATAGATTCTCAAAAGGGTGCATTCAAGGAAGAAAAGAAGAAATATTACAAGGTACTCTTCTTGATTCATTCTTACGTCAATGGTGACAACTTTGAGAAAGTTGGTGATTGCGAGTTGGCGAAGTAAGCTTGGGAGATCTTAGAGAAAGCTTATGTAGGGGCTGTTAAAGCTAAGGTGGTGAGGTTACAAACTCACAAGAGACAATTCGAGTTAACACAAATGGAAGAGAAGGAGACGATCAACGATTTTGTGACGCATATTACGAGTTTGGTGAATCAAATCAAGTCTCGCGGAGAAACTATTTTGGAGCAGAATGTTGTGTCGAAGATTTTGCGTTCTTTAACGTCAAGATTTGATAACATTGTAGTGGCTATCAAAGATTTGAAGGACCTTGCAATGTTGAGCAAAGGATGGACGAGAGAGTAAGCGATAAAGATCAAGCAGAGATTTCTTTGCAAGTACGGCTTAACGAGAAGAGTAGAAGATCGAAAGGAAAATGAATTTCGAAGGGGAAGCAAAATTCTCAGAATTTTGGTGAAAATGATCTACAAAATTCGAAGGTTTCGATGGTTCCAAAGGGTGAGAGCATCTCCAAAGATAGTGGTCAAGGAAACAACTTCAAGAAATTTGACAAGAGTAAGTCGAAGTGTTACAATTGTTATAGACTTGGTCATTTCGCAACAAATTGTCGTGCGAGACCAAGGGAGAATCAAAGCGATGAAGCTAAGGTTGTGAGGCAAGAGGTAGATAATGAAAATACGCTCTTAGTTATGATCACGAAGGATAATTATGGCATTAAAGAGGTGTTGAGGAGCAGCAGTAGTAGCTGTAAATTACGGGACAACAACTGCAGCAGTTCGAAAAATGCTACAGAAATACGTTCGGAGCAAAACATAATGATTACAGTTCAAGATGGAGCCAATGGCAGCAATGCACGGTACTTGGATTCTGGTTGTTCAACACATATGACGGGTAGAAAGGATTGGTTTGTGCAAATCAATCAAGCTGCAAAAAGTAGAGTAAAACTCGCGGATGATACCACTCTTACGGTCGAATGTGTCAGTGATGTTTTAATCTAAAAGAAGAATGATGGACATTCTATGATCAATGATGTTTTGTATATTCCAGGAATTAAGTGTAATCTATTGAGTATTAGCCAATTGCTTGAGAGAGATTACAAAATTCGCTTGGAATACAAGATTTTATGCATGGTGGATGCAAACGGTGTTTTGATCCTTAAGGCTCATATGGCTGCCAATAGGACTTTCAAAGTGGAGTTGAAAGTGATGGAGCATAGATGTTTAGCTACATCGGTAAGTTGAGAAGAGTGGTTATGACACTACCGTCTTGGACATCTCAATTTTTGTGATCTTGACATGTTATAAAGGAATGGTATGATAACCGGGTTGCCAAAAATCAACATTTCAGCTAAGATATGTGAAGAGTGTATGCAGGGAAAGATGCACAAGAGTAATTTCAGCAAGGATGCAGGTCATAGGACCAAACATCACCTTGAGGTGGTGTATTCCAATGTGTGTGGTCCAATGCAAGTCGATTTGTATGGTGGGAATAGACATTTTCTCACATTTATCGATGATTTTAGTAGGAAACTATGGATATACATAATGAAGAGGAAGGGTGAGGTATTTGATGTGTTCAAACGATTCAAGTCCATGATTGAACGACAATATGGTTACAAGCTCAAAATTCTCAAAACGGATGGTGGAGGTGAGTATACCTCGAATGAGTTTGGGAAGTATTGTAATAAAGAGGGGATAGTGCGTGAGATTGTGTCACCCTATACGCCACAACAGAGTGGTATTTCTGAGTGAAAAAATCGCTCAATAATGAACATGGTGCTAAGCATGATAAAGGGTAAAGACTTACCGAAGGAACTATAAGATGAAGTTGTTTCTACTGTCGCTTATTCGTTGAATAGGTGCCCTACAAAGAAGCTTGATAAGGTGACTCCATAAGAGGTATGGTCTAGATTTAAACCAAGCTTAAGTCATTTGAAAGTTTTCAATTAGATAGCATTTCGACAAGTTCCAGGTCAGCTCCAAAAGAAGTTGGACGACTTCGGTGAGATGATGTTACTCGTTGGTTACCATCCTACTGGAGATTATAAGTTGTTTGATGTTACAACCAAGAGGGTCTTGATTAGCCAAGATGTTGTGGTCGGCGAGCTGCGAAAGCTTGACAGCAGCAGAAAAATTGTTGATGCAAGCTTCGTAACCGATTACGCTAAAAGTCGTAACTGGTTACCATGTGTATTTTTGGATTCTGAAGTTGCTGGACCTAGTTTTGCAGAAGGTGTAACCGGTTACGGGCTGTAAAATCAGAATTTTTATAATCCTGGAGGTGTAGAACAACAACATGTCGAAGCCGAAAACGAAGCAAATGTTAGACGACCAACAAGGCAACGAGTTTTGCCTCAGACACTCCAAGAATGTGAAGTATTCCGTGATAACAAAATCAATGATGATGGTGATTTCATTCACTTTGCGCTTATGGCCGAACTCGAACCGGTGA